TTCGTCTGTCCCAATAAAGTGAAAAATACCACTTCAATGGCAACAAAACATGTCCATGGTGTTCGCCAAATTACCTACTTAATTCTTGTCAGTAATTGTGTACATAGTTTGCAGGCGGTCAGCAGCAAAAATCTTGTTTGTGCTTCCATGGCATCTATTCGCTGTAAGCTTCTATTCTTACGGCCGCTTTCAAACACAGACAATCTGTCTGTGATACATAAAGCCTGTTCCCGCTAATCTTCTTCAAGAGCAGCTTATTTTTCAATAAAGTTCGTTTCTTACCCAGATTTGCAGGCTTATGATAATAATCCATGTTACTTATTTCTCTCTTTATTACAATTATCAAGTTTTATGGTTTGCCTTTAGAGTCTTTCTGCAATCGTTGGCACAAGATTATAATTATACAATGTCTTTAACGCAGTAATGTTAGAAGGAAAAAGATAAAATATGGTATAGATCATACAAGGGAAAGATAGGCTACAGTTCGTTTGCTTCAACATAGGAATATCGTTCTTAGACACGTCATTCTTTCTTCTCTTTCTATGCAATTGAATCAAGCTATAAAATATATAAATTTTTGCTTTTGATGCAAGAATAATATGCGGCTAACGGAACAGATTGTTTCTCTCTACTTTTTTATCCGTCTATCAAGCATTTTAAAAATTAACCTAAAATTTGTATTCGACACTACTTTTCCGACAGCATTTGTCCATGAGATTATCTTGATTAAAGTACAACTAAAACATGCGATTCTGCTATCGGGCATCATTTACTGGAAAACCTAGATTGTGCAAAAAATTGCGTCATGTTTCGGATTATTGGTAAAGCCCGATCGTCGTTCCATCTAGCATTTTTCGAATCTATCTACATAAGCACGAAAAAACCGTTATTGTGTAGACAAAAGGAGTTCGTTTCCACCTTAGGACTGCATTGGTAACATTCTCAATAGGCAAGCGGCACTGATTGGTCAACCTCAACAGTCATGTGCCCACTTTTCTGATTGGTCTATTTCGATCCACAACTGGGTATATATATTTCCTAGCGTAGAGTTTTCGATCTATGTTCTGACGTTTTAAACTCTGAAGAGTGTCAGACGAAAAGCTTTGGTTTACTAAATATTTGCTTTTTTCAAAGCCATTTTCAAGATTATGTTGTATTGCACCATCTCATTTCCAGTGAATTTTCTTGAGCAGAAGTAAGTAACATAAATATATACGTATCCTTTAGATCGATGACATAAAAGGATCTCCTTTTTATCTTGCACCTCTTTGTCGAATCTTATAACTACATTAATGTTTACCTTCCTAGTTTTGACTTTCAAACTTCAATTCACCGTTTGGATTGCACTGAACATATCCAGTTGCGACTTGAAATTGTTTTGTCTCTAGAATTCTTTGGTAAAGTTGACTAAAGCAAGGTTTCTGCACCTTCTCTTCCCAAGCTTCCTTAACAACAGCTGGCCATTGAGATAAACTTCATTGAGAAGTTATACAACTGTACCTTTAGTTGATGCTTCTGAAGCATTTCATGGGCTCTTTTTTAAAAAATATGCCTTTTACCTAACAAATTGGTAACCTCTTACATGAATTACTTTGACCCATATACACACTCGTTATAAGTAAAATTTCCTAAAATTAGTGCTTGTTAAAAAATAATATTCATTTTCTTCGAAGACATTCAAAATTTACAGGCTATACATACAGTTATTGGCAGTGAAAAAAATTTTCTACTGTTATTTTTCAAGTAATGAAGGTAAAGGGAAGTATTCTGGAAATGTGAAATCGCTCGAGGAGGTTTGGATGAGGCAGGAACTCTCCGAAGATATTCTTGCGAATGCAACAAATTTTGTTCAAACATTATAATACAAAAACAAATGTGACGAACCACTTGGGCAGATAAGGGTAAGATTATATATTTGTTCGGGAAATGAATCAAGTTTGTCTTCCAGACATGCACTAACCCCCGTTTCAGGGTCATTGCGCAAGCGCATTTTCACTTGAAGCCCTGGCAGGAAGTTCAAGAATTGTGTTGTCACAGGCAGAACCGTTGTGCGAATACTATTATTAATGCGCATGTGCGAGCACTGATTGGTTCAAGACGGTATTTTTTCCAAACAAAGGTCGTAAGGCAATGAAGAACAAGTCATCAGGAGCTCTACAAGAAGATCCAGACATTCAAATACAAATATTTGATAACTAAATTAGAAACTGTACCGAGAGGATCTGCCACCAAATTCCCGAAATCTTTTTCACGCAACTTATTTTCATCTTTTACAAGGCCCCGACAGCCACCTCGCAACAGCAAGATCTGGGGTGTTGAAGCGATGTTGCTGTAAAAATCTGACTTCTGCATACGTTGCTGAAGTCTAGATCCGCCTCTGTGCAAATTATACTAAAATATTTCGTTTTTTGTCAATACCAATAGTATTTACCAATAGGCAATTGTTTTTTTCATGGGTCCACTAATTTGCTTACCAACCAAATAAATCAAACTTCCCCTTTCGTCTATCAACAAGGGAGTTTTTCTCATCAATACTTCAACCCGATCAAAATCTAGCCCAGTTCATCAATCATTTTGCTTTGATTAATCCAGATGAATATACGTGCAGCCTCCCCTTTAAATCTATTTCGACCAATCCAGTGGCCGTATGCTAGTCATCCTTCAAATTTATTTCGACCAATCCAGTGGCCGTATGCTAGTCATCAAACTGTTATCATTGTAGCAAATAAACTGTACTGGTTCGAATACAACAGAACCATTACGAGTGTTATTGTAATCGGATCTTGCATAAGACCTACCTCTGCATATTCTAAGTTGCAATGTTACTATTCATCACTCCATAAAAAAAGCTGTAGCTCTTTGTTAAAAAGACTTCATTTCGAGACAGTTGTCTCGTCAAAAACTGAATAGCTCCCCAGAAAATGGTGTTCTTTGTATGTACCATATCCACGCGGACAAGTTCTGACGAAGCTCTATTAATATTTGCGCTGTAACATAATTTATGTTATGATCGATCTATGTTCTCAACTTTCTGGAAAAGTAACTAGAAGCGTCCCCTAGCTTTCGGAATAGATTACCAAATAGCGCATTTTCTCAAAGATTTAAATTAGATTTTAATCAAATCGACAGTAACAGGACTGTATATCGATAAAAAATGCTTCTCTGGTTTAGAAAGGATAAAATGAGCAAGTTCAATCCGCCGAGTCTCGTGTTCTTTGACAATTCCTCCCAGAATCTACTTTTAGGCCTTGGCAGAATGCTTTATTCTGTTCTTCTTAAATCAGTCCTGCGCAGACACCGTGCAGCGCCATTGGGCTAGCAAGGGCTATAGACCCCCCTCCCCACTTTTTTGTAATAATAGCTAGTTTAGAAAATTTTTAGAAAGTTTACCAAAGTTCATTTTCTTGGTGTTTTATCTTGAATAATGATATGCTGTGTTTTCTAACTATGTTAATTTTTTTTTAATGGTTCTCAAGCTAATTATAACTATATTTATAGTAATTTGTATCTTCTCTGAATCAGACTATTTATGAATAATATGTGGAAAGAAGGAAGAATCTTCTAAAAGGGCCTTTTCCGACGTTATAAAGGGCGTGGCCTAAGAAATATACGGTCGCACCCTTTTCAGCCCCCACACTTTTAGACTGGTGCGTGGTGCCTGGTCTTGCGAGCCAGCTACTTTGACTGCTTGTAAATGATTCAATAATAATTTCTGACAGGGACAAACACCAGGGGCAGTGCTCCTGGCATACACTGCGACAAAGTTTGTTCATTTGGCCGAGGCTTGACATAAATTGCCTGAATTCTTGAGGTTACTGTCAAAAACAGTGGTGCTGCAGCATTTTCTTGTACATTGTTTTTTTTTGGGTTTTCACCTGCATAAACCTGACGATATCAAAGGCTGCAGAGTCCTTAAAAATGAATGGGAAGCAAATTCTCGAAATCATTGGAGTCAATTTTAACGAAAAGCTACGTGTAGCTACACTATAAAAACACAAGTTACAGGGCTTTAGATTCTGATCTTGGAAAGTGCAGTTTAATAATAAAAGAGATAACCAGTATGACGACAAACAGATACATCTTCTTTTGTTGTATTTCGACATTTCTTCTCCTTACAAAGGACGATAACAAAGAATATAACAATCAGTTTGAAATAATCAGTATAGACCTTACTCGGCTTTCTAGCAAGATTTCGATGCACTGAAACATTTCTTGGAGGTTTCCAGACCTCAATAGCATTTCAATTCAAACTTACTCGGCTTTTTAGCAAGATTTCGATGTACTGAGACATTTCTTGGAGGTTTCCAGACCTCAATAACATTTCAACTCAAGCAACAAATGAACCTCTGTGCACCATGAATCTACTTTGGATTTTCAATGAGTCCTATTAAAACTGAACAAAATTTCTAATTTCAAAAATAAACCATACATTTCAGCATTTGCATGGAGTTGATTCTATTAAACAATATTGTGTAGAAAAGCACTTAGAATTTTCAGCGAATAGTAAAACCCTACTTCCTAAATAATTAATCACTTGAACCAAATGAATATTTTATCAAGCAGTCACTTTGTAGGCAGAAAAACCACATTTATAGTTGTAAATTTTAGAAGTTCCTGTTGTCAATGCACTAATTACACCGTTAGTCTAAAAATTATTGAATTGGAAACCAATTCATTCGAGGGTCGTTGAAAATCGCAAGGGCAGCTTTAAGATGGCAGATGCCTGTGTTCTTATGAATCTTTCTTCCTGCCTTTGAGTCCTTTCGGGATTTGCACACAGTCAATGAAGGCTTTTCATAAGTAATGAGTTCAGAACCTGAGTCCCTAACGTTTTATAACTTAAGCAAGTTTTTCCATATCTGAGAATCGTTTTTATTCAAAGTTCGGTTTTTTTGATGATTCAGAACTTAATTCACAAAGTGCGCTCGAAATGCTTCTTCTTCTCCATCCTTTGTTACAATATCAAGAGCAGAATTTGGCTCGGCAGGTAAAACACAAGATTATTCAACTACCTCATTTCATGTTCGTTCACTATTTTTTCCAATGAGAGTCGCCAAAATTTTACATTTCAAGTAACAAAACAAAAACGGGAATTTTACACAACAAAACAAAATATTTTACAATACAATTCATTTTACTATTTACAATTAAACTGCCACTCGACTTTACAAGCCGTGTAGTGTATACATTTCAATTAGCAACTACTTCTAGAGTTTTATTAGTCCGCAGTTCTCAATTTTTCTAGATTTCTAATTCGGAGCTGTATATTCACAAAGTTCTTTATCAAAACCACCCCTGTTAACATCTATGAATCCAGAGTTTATTTTCATTAGCATTTCTTTTGTGTCTTATTGAAGACCATCCAGTTGATCCTGAATCATAGCAAATTGTTTGCAATTGACTGCATCTAAATCTAGATCATAAATTAACCTTCCTTGCGCTCGATGCTACGACCAAAGTTGCGCAGCTCAGCTTGGATTTCGTTGTAGTACGAAACGTCTTTGTTCACTCTTAGCATTTTTCCGCTGTGGTGGTTGACAATATGAATACAACGATTCCAAAATCCTGCTCGATCAGCATCGCACAGGAATGGCTTTAAAGGATAGCTTATTTCGTGTCCGTTGTATGAGTAGCACATATACAAACAGCTCATGATAACGCCCTTGAGTTGTGCAAGTGTCTTAATCTCACTTCGAATCATCTCACGGAGAAGCATGTATAGCACAAGCATGTTAGCATGGGAAAGAAAACCATGCTCCTGCCAGCCTGAATAGACTAAGCCACGATCGACTCCCTTTACCCATGAAACGAAAACTGAAGGCTTTAAGCCTTCTATGTGACGACACCGTAAGTAGACATAGCAACCAACGTATTTTAATGTTTCACTCAAACTTATAGTTCCATAATTCTTATCAAGTTCTGGTTGTGATGCTGAGTGAAGCTTTAGTTTTTGAGTATCTGCACTACTTGGCCTATGGATCTTTTCGCTCAAGACTTCTTCTCTAACAAGGGAAGGTCTAGGCTGTGCCTGCAACTTCGACATGCTGTCAATTTTCTTGTATGACTCGGAAGTTGTCTTATTCTTGGACTTCTTTTTAGATTCATTTTTGCTTCTGAACCAACTTGAAGAGACTTTTTCTTGAAAGAACTTGTTTTCCTTTCCACTCAAATTCGGTAAACAATCGTGGACGAAATTGAATTTTGTAAAGTTCAAGTTCAGCTTTGAAGAGTGTAAACTTGATTGTGTGTTGTTATTTGTCTCCTTCAAGGCTGTATCGCTTTTGCTAAGCTTGGATGGTGTTGCCAGAATCGTACCCATCTTGTGGAATGTGCAAAGGCAAACTCCGACCAGAGTTTATATTCTGCAGACAATTCTTTAGTCAACACAAACAGTCTTGTCCAACTGCTAAAATTTTTGTGTACAGTTTTCTCAGCCTAACATGAAGAATGAAGCTTTTTTACGTTCTGTTATATGAATTATGGATATCTTTGCTAGAGCAGATGTTCTCTTCTCTGGAAATGCATTGTTGAGGATGGTTGCCATGGTGAAGCAGCTGCAACCACAACCAGTTGAATGTGATTGGTTGAATGTCTGCCCTACGGTTCGTTATCAGATCAACCCATTCAGGTTGGTCTGCATAGCAGCACAGGTGGAAACAGGTTGCGGAAAACAACTCATTCTAAGTCCTAGCATTTAAACTTTTAAAACTTTCAAACAACACTGCATATTAAACAGAAATTTACTTACAGATTTTGACCTAGTTTTAAACTTGACTTGCGCTAATCAACGAAAATGCAGCAATCTACATAGCAGAATACGTCTGAAAATTTTCATTACTTTTTGAGAATAATGTTATCTTTAAAGATTATTTTAACACTTAACTTTCATTATTTCATTCATTCTGAAAAATATTTTTTGTAGCTTTTGGAAATTACTTTTGAGGGAAAATTTTTGAATAAGTACCCATGCAAGTGAACGTTGTTAACTGCAATTTATTTCACAAAATTACTGGTCCTCGAGAAATCAAGTGAAAGATCTTTTCAGTTCTGCAAATTTTTATCTGGTTTTAAACGATCCATCTAGGTACCTATCTTCACTTTTTGACAAAGTATTATATAATATTAGTATTATATAATAAAAATAATTTTAATATTTTTTTCACGAATTTTATTAATTCCGAGGGATGAAACATAGATCTTTTGAAGCTAAGCCTATTTGAAGCAAGAAGTATACGGTGGGCATTCCATCAATTTTGGCACATCCAATTGATGCAACATCTAACTTGTCAGTATCAATTACAGGAATAGAACTTGTTTTATTATTTCCTTGCCTTGTGGTACATCTTTGCGGGGAGTAAACATTGACTTCTAACAACCGAAGTTGTTAAAGCCGCTAGTCCAACCGCCATGCTTGCGGTAGCGGTTTTAAACGCGAGCAGAATTGGACTGAAATTGATTGTGAAATGCAATACGATATTAGGCCGGCTTTAAAATATAGTCGCAAAGCATGCTGGTTACGCAAAAGTCTTTAAAGAGCTTTAGCTTTGGCAAAGCAACGCTACTTTTCAATCATGTGGTGTTATGACGTAATCATGGTGGTCATAATTGGGTTACAATGTTACATGTGACCTTATCTGGAAGATATTCGTATCTTCATGTTCAAGTCAGATTTAGGCCCATCATCATCGCGGTCAAAGACTCATGTTTGTCAAAGACTATAAACATTAGAATCAACTTTGACAGAATCATGCGGTTTATCATGGACTCTCTTATTTATTCACCACATTATCAATTATTTCATTATTTCCTCCCACGGTACTAGAGCACAATATAGAGAATAATATTTCGTAAAAAAAGTTAAAATGGTCGCAACGAACTTCCCTCCTTTGTGAGGACTAGATGCTGAAAGCTCTTTAACTCAAGCCGGTATATGTTTTTTGGGGGAGATCCTTAGTTGGCAATGTCCATTTAACAATTCCAATTCATTGATCCTTTGATTTTCCATGAAAGAGCGATTCATGAAAGAGCTTTTCATATCAGCCTTTTAGAGTCGGTAAATAGTTTACACAAAGAATCTTTAACACAATTGCAAGATTACAGGGTGTGGTCTTGGGTGTGACTTTTAGACGTTCCTTACAGCACAGTCCCCCTTCCGAGCTCTTTAGGACGTCAACCTTGTTCTTAATGTGATCGAGATAATAATTATTGCGTAGTAAATAAGTAACACCGCAACCTGACGAGAATAAAAAACAACAAACACACGTAAATCAGTTATGGCTGATATTTCGCCCCGGCAAACAAGGCTTCATCTTTTTTGCTCTGATGAAGCCCCGTATGCTGGGGCGAAATATTCTCATTGCGTTGCGGTGTTACTTATTCAATACATTTTATCAGTTTTTCGCCGCAAGTATTTCATCGAAGGCCGTCGAGTTGCCTGCTATTGTTGCCTTTCCTTCATTCATACAATAATAATTATTGCCTTGTCTCCATTCTGCTGTGATTTGGTTATTTATTATTGAAATAGCACGATAGCTCAAAGATATTTCAATGAAACTTGCAATTAATTTGCAATTCTTAGAAAGATTCAAGACACTGATGATTTCCTCTCTGCCAAAAAACCCAAACTGCCAATCCACTCAAGCATTTTGTAAGCCTGCTTGTGAAATTTTTACCGCTATCGTGCGCAATCAATAAATTATTTATTCAATCTAGCTTAGGCCAGGCAAGTTTTTCACAGAAGCACTTTGATGGAAATTGCGAAAGATTGAGCAGATGTAATTTTAGGATGAGGTAAGAAAACTCTTCACTCTAGCTTAGGCCAGGCAAGTTTTTCACAGAAAGACTGTGATGAAAATTGCGAAAGATCGAGCAGATGTAATTTTACGATGAGGTAAGAAACATATGCCAAGGCTGAGTCACTCAATAACCAACTTTGTGTTACATCATGCTCAAACAACGTCCCTGATTCCTCTTCTCTCTCAATAATTGTTCTTAAATTGGCCAGTAATATAGGGCTATCTTTCTTAGTGCCGAATTTAGCCCAAATTGGACCTGATGATGCTTCTTGTCTGCTCTATTTGGGCCTAACTCAGGAATGGGCCTAATGCTGCAGCACCAGTAGAGCTCACCTTTATTTGGCCCTGACCTAGCATCAAAACAATATCATAACAACGATATATGAAAACAACGATAAAAACCCATAGGTTCGTCACAGCCAGCTGATATATAGAATGAGGGAAAGATATAAGATAGAGCAAACTATTTAAGAAGTAATATGCTTTCTTTTCCCCTGATTTCTCTTACAAGGATTGTTTTCTTATAACAGAAGATAAATTGAAATTGAAATCAACAAATGATACGAAAATAAGGGTAATATGCTTTATTGTTAACAGATCAGTACAGATTTCTTGATACCGGGTACGCAGAGAGGTACTCGGCTTGTTGTGTAGGAAAAGAATGTTTTAAGTTTTTCAGTTTTCTGGTATAACGGCCTGTGCAATACCAGAAAACTGAATAAAAATCAAGCGGTATTTATAGAACTGCCATAGTTTTTGGAATATTTGCCTCAGTAAGGTGATTCATGAAGTAAGTTGATTCTTTATGACATCTTATTGCGTAACTTCTCATCTCGTTTAATCAATCAAAAAGTAAAACACACATGGCCACTTAACTTTCTTTATAGTCAATATCCAATTGTTGTGAATAACATCTAAGATTCGCTCACCCTCTTACTTGATGTTTTCCTTCTTGACTCAGTAATGGTTCAGATTATTGAATACAAAGCAAAATAACCTGAAAATGGCGTTGTAAAAAGGAAGCATTTTAACACGTTTCTCGTTTTTAATGCCATTTTCAAATTTTGCACCGCTAAAGGTTGTTTACAAAATAGCTTACAAATTATGGCATTGAAATAAAGAATAATACAACTAAAATTAATGCAAAAAAACAATATAAAGACATTGTAATGTATGGAAAGAGACATGCTGTTTTTCTAATTACGATGGTATTAACAAAATGCCAGACTTATTGAAGTTCAACCAAAACTTCAATAAATTGTAAAGGGATACTTTTCCTTTCCGCAAGTTAGGGCTGGGTGAGATTGTGGAGGCGCTTTATAAAAATCTCACACTAAACCCCTTATTAAAAAAGGGTATAAATCTTTCATTCACGTATCAAAACGAAAAGTTAGTTGCCAGTCTTAGTTTGAGATTTTGCTGGAGTTTCCTCTAAATGCAAGGTAAACAAATGGTCATCAAAAATATTTTCCTAGAATTTCTTAAATTTAACAACATAATCTGAAAATGGCTTTGAAAAAAGCAAAAAACTGTTCATGTAATCTGAAAGAACGGTATAAAATACCTTTAAATATGCAAAATCTGTTAGGTAACGGATTATTGTTATCCTGGCCTTATTGATAAAGTTTTGAACCAAGACCAAATTAGAGAGGTTTGATGGGGCAAAAGCCTTTGTTTATGTGGCCATATCTCAGCCAATTCGTGATAAATTTAACTGATTTCGCATATTTAGAATTATTTCATGATATTCTTTCAGGCTATGTGATCAAAAGTGAAAAATTATAAAAATAGATTTTTGTGACGTCATGACATCAGTACGCTATAGTATTAGGAAAAATGCAAATTTATCAACAATGTTTCATCTAGCAAGCTAGTACGACACATCAGCTAAATAAATAAGTAAAACTTGCTGGAAGGATCCAAACTGATTTACGTTTACGTTTTCAATTGTCTACCGCTGCTACCGAGTTTTCATTTGTACCAAATAAAAGTTAGCTAGGGCTGATATTTTGGTTTGCATATACATGTATATCTCCTTTGAAGACCCTAAAAAAATAATAAGCCCAAAAAAATATTTTTGACAACGTAAACATTGCCCAAGCCATTTCCTTTACGAACGCCGCGTCAAGAAAATTTTTTAAAAATATTAAAACCCCGTTTACCAAAATAATTTCTAGCTTAATACCTTCGAATTATTTTTTGTTGTTTGCCTTTCAATTTCCAGTACTGAGCCCGAGATAGTCTTTTTGCCTGTATTTCCGCTTGAGTGGTTTTGTTTCAGCTGAAAACAACAAGTTAACTATCTATATATAACTTAATATTGAAGTTGTAGGGCGTCTTTCTTATCATCTTTTTTATGAATGTACGTCTTTTCTACCGGGACTCAAATAAGCGCTGAGCACAAATAAGCGTCGAGCACAAATAAGCGCCTATCTTAACAGCTTGAAAATTAGGTAAGCTTTTAATCGGTCATTGATGGTAACATTTTTCATATTAAAATGCAAAGGAGCCTTTTAGAGACAGACAGCTTTTTGCCGCAAAACGACAAACAAACATCATTTTCAAGCTTATATCTTCCCTAATCCAGCTTCTTGAATTAAAATTCCTTCTTCCTGCTGCTGCACAGACAGTTGAAGTAATGGAAACAGATTATTTAAAACAGGTTTGAAATGAAAAGACTGTTCGTTAATTAGCAGG